GGGTGGCGCAGTCGGCTAAGCGTCCGACTTCAGCCAGGTCACGATCTCGCGGTCCGTGAGTTCGAGCCCCGCGTCAGGCTCTGGGCTGATGGCTCAGAGCCTGGAGCCTGTTTCCGATTCTGTGTCTCCCTCTCTCTCTGCCCCTCCCCCGTTCATGCTCTGTCTCTCTCTGTCCCAAAAATAAATAAAAATACAAACCGTGGAAGGAGAAGAAGTTTTTTGCTATAAAATATACTTGGGGCGCCTGGGTGGCGCAGTCGGTTGAGCGTCCGACTTCAGCCAGGTCACGATCTCGCGGTCCGTGAGTTCGAGCCCCGCGTCAGGCTCTGGGCTGATGGCTCAGAGCCTGGAGCCTGCTTCCGATTCTGTGTCTCTCTCTCTCTCTGCCCCTCCCCCGTTCATACTCTGTCTCTCACTGTCTCAAAAATAAATAAACGTTAAAAAAAATTAAAAAAAAGAAGAATATTTAAAAAAAAAAAAAGTCAAGTCTATAAAGCATTTTTGTATCTGGCTCACTGTCCGGTTCACTGTAGTGTCCTTTCCCCCATTTAATTGCAAAACCATGAGTGGGTTCTCATAATTCCATTCACATCACCACAAATCCAAGCACAAATACAAAAATATTCTGGAAGTTTGAAGAAAAAGACAGACATGTACGGCGAAAAAATAAAAATACAAAATGTATATACATACACATAGCCCCCATGATGTATTTTCATGTCACCTGCACACCTTAGTGGACTCGCCTATATTGTTCCATGTCCTCATTTCTGGAAGCCCAGCCTAGAATGTACTTGCAGGGAAACAGGGAGAGTCACTGCTTGCCTCCCAGTTGTCCCCCGAGTGCCCAGAATGCTGAGATCTGAGTCAATAAGCCCAATGGGATTGTGATTTGCAATCAGGCATTCACAACAGTTACGGAGGAACCTTTCACTACCAACTTACAGCAAAACCCACAGGAACGGGGAGAAGGAGGTAGACAGTCGGATTTGTTCTTGCTGGCCCTCTAGGCTCCCTTACGAAGCCTTAGACCTGATCAAAGAGGTGGAAGGGGGGATTTGGAGCTCTCTGATGAGCCTAGGCTTCTTTTAATAAGTCACAGCCTGGAGACTGTGTCAAGCATCTGTTCTGGTAAAATTCCCCAGGATGCTGGATCTAACATCATTCCAGGGTGGGAATGGGTGGGAATGGAAAAAGGCTGGGACACAGGCTCTTGGCGATTACTGAGGAAGCACTTTCTTATGCTTCTTGCCTTACAGAAGTTGGCTTTAAGATTTAAGCTTGCCACTTCCAATCACCCATCTGATTATCCAGTACAGTCTCAGACTATTTGAAGAACTTTAATTATGGAAAGAGTATTATTTGGCAAGATCATTCTCGAAAATGACAATTTCTGGCCAAGTATTTGAAATGCCAACAATTTATTTTTCCATAGCATGAATAAGCAAATATATATACATTTTAAGGGGCATTTCTTTTTAGGAAAATCAATGAAGAGAACTAATACGCTCGTAATTAATTTCGACTTGTTTCAGTATCACTGATTTTAGAACGAATGACAAAAATATACCAGTGCGAGGAACACCCTAACAGGTTAGACTGGTAAATGCTACGGCTTCTATTTCAGGGAGCGGCCATGTGGGTTTGCAGATCAACAGAAAGGAGTCCAAACAGAAAATTATCACTTTGTTTTGCAACGCCAATCAAGCAAATATTACTACGAAGGTACAGAAAGTGTGTGTGCGTGATCTCACAATATGAGAATATATACTTCTCATATTTCATTCACCTACATTTACATTTACAGGAGCTATAGCTGAAGAAACCTAGATTCATATATAAGGAAAACGTTAATCACAGTGCTGATTTTATACACACACAAATACATACACACAGCTGACTCTTGAACAACGTGGTTTTGAACTGCCCGGGTCCACTTACACATGGATTTTTTTTTTTTTTTAACACATTACCATACTGTAAATGTATTTTCTCTTCCTTATGACTTTCTTAATAACATTTTCTTTTCTCTATTGTAAGAATACAGTATATAATACATATCACATGCAAAATATGTGTTAATTGACTGGCTATGTTATCCATAAGGCTTCAGGTCAACGAGTTATCAGTAATTAAGTTTTCGGGGAGCCAAAACTTACATAGGGATTTTCCACTGCGCAGGGGGTCGGCGCCCCTAACCCGTTCCCCACTTCCCTGCACTGTTCAAGTCAACTGTATATGTTTGCTTATTTTCATGACAATGGTTCATATCTGTTATTTACATGACGAGACCAGGGGTGCTGGGTGGCTCGGCTGAGCATCTGACTCTTGATTTGGGCTCAGGTCATGATCCCAGGGTTGTGGAATCGAGCCCTACCAGCCCGGGCTCCATGCTGATCATGGAGCCTGCTTAGGATTCTCTCTCCCTTTCCCTCTGCCCCTCTCCCCTGCATGTGCTCGCTCTCTAAAATAAAAATCGGGGCGCCTGGGTGGCTCAGTTGGTTAAGCTCCGATTTCGGCTCAGGTCGCGATCTCACAGCTCATGGGTTCGAGCCCCGCATGGGGCTCTGGGCTGACAACTCGGAGCCTGGAGCCTGCTTCGGATTCTGTGTCTCCCTCTCTCCTTGCCCCTCCCCCACTCATGCTCGGTCTCTCTCTCTCTCTCTCTCTCTCTCAAAAACAAACATTTAAAAAACTTTTAACAAAAATAATTTTTAAAAATAATAAATAAATGAAGATGATGAGACAAGACAACCTAAAACGACACACTGTACCCAAAGGAACAAAACACCCCGGTTTCAAAGCTATTACAGTAATTATGAAATGAAAGCTCAATTCCCAGGTGAAAATTACAACCCCGTTAGAATCTGACCTGTGATTCAAACCTAAAACTCGAGTAGAATCCACTTGCAGAGTCCATAGCCAGCAACAAAGAGAGTGGCAAGGGAAAGGAAAACACAGAGCAAAACACTTGTGGTACGGAGTCAAATTATAGTCCGCGAATTTTTTTTTCACGTACAGCTGCCTCACCAAGCAAAGACGTTTTGTGGCAGCCGCCACTTCCAATATTAGCAAAGCACATCATTACAATAGAGAGGGAAAGGGATCTGAAATTACAGTAAATCACTTCCTGTAACATTGCAATTATGTCTAAATGGGGGTACTGAGGTAGGTAGCTCATGAATCCGGGGAGAAAACAGATGCCTGCAAATCCTCCGACCTTGATTCTCGGCCAGCACGCCTGCTCACCAGCATGAAGCTGTCCTCAAGACTCTGCTTCTCGGCTTCCTCACTTGTAAAATGGGATCCGGCCACGGGATCTATACGACCATTTTTTTTTTTTTTTCACAATCTACAAATAATTGTATCGAAACTGAACAAGTTACACAGCAGCCTTCCTAGGGTAGGGGCCACCCTCTCCAAGCAATTTCTCACTGGCTCGAAATGCAATTGATACAGGAAGGAATTTTAAGTCATTTCTATGGAAATCAGGCTCTGCGACGACAGATCTGAAAGATCTGGAAGATGTCTTCTCATCCTAAGAGTCTGGCCTCTATGTCGGGTTTCAACTTCTGGGGAGCTGTTAAAATAAGGACTATGTCGGGGCGCCTGGGTGGCTCAGTCGGTTAAGTGTTCGGCTCTTGGTTTCAGCTCAGGTCATGATCTCACGGTTCTTGGGATCGAGCCCCGGGTCAGGCTCTGTGCTGACAGTGCGGAGCCTGCTTGAGATTCTCTTTCTCCCTCTCTCTCTGCCCCTCCCCTGCTCGTGCTCTCTCTCTCAAAATAAATAAATATGAAAAATTTTTTAATTAAAAATAATAAAATAAAATAAGGAT